CAAATGGAAGCATGAACCCCCGCTATCCATCCCCACTTTCCCTGGAAGTCGACACCTGACTCATGCTAAAATGTGTCATGCTCAGAGATACTTAGGAATGCCCTTCCAGATAATGACAGAAATATAAATTTGCTCCTTGGTGTCATCTCTACCTTTGCTGCAGTGGTGGGATTCAAATTATTTTTAGTACTGGTTCTGTGGGCCTGGCTTGGTGGGCTGGTGTGGCTTGGTGGGTGTGGCAGGGGAAGGTCACTGCAAAATCCCCATTCCCTCCCCACCCCACTAACCTGCTTTCCAGCTCCGTTCTCCTGTGCAGGGCAACCAAGGAAGACCCAGCCAATCAGCTGTAGGCGTGGCTTGGTGGGCGTGGTGTTCTGTGGGCGTGGCAGGGGAAAGATACTGCAATATCCCCATTCCCTCCCCACCCCACTAACCTGCTTTCCAGCTCCATTCTCCTGTGCATGGCAACCAAGGAAGACCCAGCTGATCAGCTAGGACTCAGGAGGTGGAGAATATATGGGAGCAGAGCCAGTCAGAGGTGGCTTTTGCCGATTCTCCAAACTACTCGTATAGTGTTCACAGACGAACACAACACAGAAGCCTGATGATGGCAGATGAGATTCTGCCGAAACGTCGCTACAACTTTAAAAGCACAACTATAATGACGTGGGAAAATACCCGAACAAAGCTGAATACCATATATACATATACATATATGTGTGTATGTATATATGTATACATCTTTGACCTCACTGCAAAATTTGCAAGAAGGAGCCAAGGCAGTGGATTACATTACACCCTAATAAAATTCTCTTAAAACAACAACAGAAATTTAAGTCTCCTTCCCATTGAGGGTCACACCTAGCAACCTAACAGAATGCTGTTTTTCTTCTTCCACTGTTTTCCCTGTAGGATGCTTTTTTTTTTCCTTTTTCTTTCCTTCTTTCAACCTAAGGAATTTGAGTTTTAATTTGAGTTCAGGCAAGCCCTGGTTTTTGCAGATCTGACAGGGGTTGGCTAAGTGATGGTGCTACTTAGCCAGGTATCAGCTTCTAAGCCTAAATCATCTTCCAGGCAGTTCAGGTCATGTCCTCACCTTGGAGGAAACGAGAAAGACGGGCTTGAAGGAAGAGGCCTCTAACGCTGAGAAAAGCAGAAAGGAAACAGAACAGGTCGTCTGAAAGGGTATAACTTTCCTCGCTTGAGCAGGGGTTGGACTAGATGACCACCAAGGCTCCCTTCCAACTCCTGTTATACGGGGCAATCAGCAGCAAAGCAGATGGTCTCAGTTACAAGGGAAGACCTAAAGGACCAGGTTGGAGACAAATGATCCTGCAGAGAGTCTACCTGTTGGATTCTTAAAAATCAGCACCGACCAACTAAACGGCACACTTTGTAGTTTGTATCCTTACGATCTATATTGACTGTTTCCTAGTATGATTGGATTGCTTATTGTACCCTATGACTATCATTAAGTGTTGGACCTGATGATTCTTGACTCTTGATGAATATATATTTTCTTTTGTGTACCCTGAGAGCATTTGCACCAAGACAAATTCCTTGTGTGTCCAATCACCCTTGGCCAATAAAGAATTCTATTCTATTCTATTCTATTCTATTCTATTCTATTCTACTCTACTCTACTCTACTCTACTCTACTCTATTCTGATTGCTCTTCTTATTCTATTCTTATTCTATTTTATTCTTATTCTTATTCTATTCTAATTCTCTATTCTCTATTCTATTCTTATTCTATTCTAATTCTCTATTCTATTCCTATTCTATTCTTATTCTTATTCTATTCTATTCCTTTATTCTATTCTATTCTACTCTATTCTGATTGCTAGTCTTATTGTATTCTTATTCTATTTTATTCTATTCTATTCTAATTCTCTATTCTATTCTATTCTATTCTATTCTATTCTATTCTATTCTATTCTTATGCTTATTCTATTCTATTCCTCTATTCTCTATTCTATTCTATTCTGTTTTCATTCTATTCTATTCTATTCTCATTCTCATTCTCATTCTCATTCTCATTCTATTCTATTCTTATTCTATTCTATTATCAATGAACCCAAAGACCCAGCTGTCTTGAGAAGATATTTCAGAAAGATGGACCAAAAGAAGATACTCAACAACAACAAAGTTAGGGACAAGGTTCAACCGACAATGGATGCAATGTTGGGCGACCATTGGATGGACCTTCTCAAGGATGATTTGTCCCCAAGTTAGTTCCTTCAGGACAAGTCAGAAGATCTGCCTAGCACAAGGGTGTCAAACTCAATTTCATGGAGGGCTGCATCAGGGTTTTGTGTTTGACCTCGGTGGGGGTGGGGTGGGGCACGGCCAGAGGATGCGGCCAGATAAACGTCACTCATCGAGGCTCCGCTTTTGGCCATGACGGCCTCCTGCACATTCTGCCAGCAAAAGCAGAGCTTTCAATCCATCAGAATAGACCTGGAAGGGAGGTCGAAGGTCATCTAGTTCAGCCCCCCTCCAAGCAGGAGATCCATTTCAGCTCGGGGAGGCTGCACCTGGGCTCCGTTTTCACTGGCAGAGGGCTGCAGGAGGCCACCATGGCCCAAAACAGAGTCCAGGCTGCCTGCCCGCGGCTCCCCTGAACTCCATTTTCACTGGCAGAAGGCACCGTGGGCTGGTCCTTCGCTGTTCCCAGAATGGGCCCATAGGCCAGATCTAAGCATCCTGCAGGCTGAATCTAGCCCATGGGCCTTGAGTTGGAGATCCCCGTTCTAGAACAGGGGTGGCCAAACTTTTGGATGTCAGGAACCACCAAACTCATCATTTTAAATCCTGCGGACCAGAGACCCTGGGAAAATCCCCCCCAAAAGTCTGCAGGAAAATCCCCTACCCCATTTTCCTACCGATCAATCATTCCTTATTTAGGATCGCAGGATACTGTCTCCAGCTCCGTTCTTGGGGGAGAAAGAGAGACTTTTGCCTTCATGCAAGGAAAACAGCAGAAGCAGCAGAAGTCTTTCTTTCTCTCCCCCAAATTCAGCCAGAAATGAGTCTTTGCCAGTGCAGCCTCTTGGAGCAGGAGGCCTTGCAGGGTCCCAAAGACTCATTTCTGGCGGAGTTTGGGGGAGAGAAAGAAAGACTTTTGCTGCTTTCCTTGCGCGCAGCCAAAAGCAGAAGAAGGAAGAAGCGGAAAGGCCAGGCACGTAGGGTGAGTGGGGCAAGTCCCCCCTCCTCTGCCCTTTCCCCCTTCCCCTCACTACCTCATGTTATTCGCAGTGCAAGCGACACAAGCCTTGTGTTCCCGTGCAGCCTGGATTAATTGCTTTGGGGGGGACATTTCTCTGCGGACCACCAAAACTTTCTCGCAGACCACCAGGGGTCCCTGGCTCACTGGTTAGCGACCACTATTCTAGAAGATGGTCCTTAAAAGTTGACCTTGGCTGGATCACCCGCTCATCCCCAGGAATCACCATTCCAGAAGCTCTACCTAATGTCAGACGTTCTCCATCAAAGAGACCATCACTTCAGAGTGGACGTCAAAGCCAACAAACCTCTTTGATATCTCTCAGCTTGTCCAAGGAATTATGGCGCCCACTTCTGCGGACCTGATTGATCGGAGCATGATGGGAGTGGCTTCCTTCCCACCAGGTATGTTGCCCGTGGAAGTCCCACAGCCACCAAGTTGGGGGGGAAAAACTTTCAGGTAAAGAACATAACCTGGGATCCTATAGGGATCTCTACTAAAACGTATGAAGAATGGTTACAGGAACTGGGCCTGGCTAGTCTAGTGAAGAGAAGGACCAGGGGAGACATGAGAGCATCTTCCAATATTTGAGGGGCTGCCACAGAGAGGAGGAGGGGGGTCAAGCTATTTTCCAAGGCACCTGAAGGCCAGATAAGGAATAATGGATGGAAACTGAACAAGGAGAGATTTAACCTGGAAATAAGGAGGAATTTTCTGACAATGAGAACGATCAACCCATGGAACAGCTTGCCCTTGGAAGTTGGGGGGAGTTGGACTGCCCTCTGTCAGGAATGGTGTAGGGTCTCCCATTTGGGTGTGGGGAGTTGGACTAGATGACCTCCAAGGTCCCTTCCAACTCTGATTATCTGATTAAACAGGGAAATGGGATGTAGCATCTCTCTCACACACAAACGTTGAAGTTCATCCTGCAGGATTTTTTTTTTTTTAGTTCCCTTTTCAATTATTGCAGCAGGCAACCTGTTTTTTTCATCCTGTGTGTCCCGGCAACACAGTGTGGATGATAACAGCACAGAAATCCCAAGCATGAAAAACAATGACCAACAGCCAGGTCATCCGAGGTAGCTCTCATAAACCAGCCACACCGTGCCGGTGACGTCAGAGCTTCATCACACACCGAGCGTAGCTCCAGCAACCAGCTGAACTCAAACCTCCTAGGGGAGAACTTCCAACGCTAAGACCGGGATGCGACGGTTTAGGAAGCCCACCCACTCACCCCCCCCCCCACCGGGAAAAAAAAGGCTTAATTTTAGAACTCGGCGAAGATGCTAAAGCCCCGCTCTCTCCCCTCTCCTTTCCCTCTCTACAACCCTGCAAAAAACAAAAAGCCCAACTAAGGCTTTGCACCCAGAATCTTTTCCTTCCAACTCCGTGCCCGAACGCCCCGGTCCCTGCTTAACCCAACCCTTGGCGAGGCTGCGCTGCACGGTTCACACGACCGCCGGACGCCTCCCTCCTGCAGGCTCCCGCCTGGACAAGCTGGGAGTCGGGTCTCGTGGTTGCTTTGCCTTAGCTTTGCCGCTCGCGATGGGTTCAAAGTCCAGAGGGATGCTTCCCGCGCTCTCTGTATCTATCTATGTTCCGTATCATCAATTATCTATCATTTATATCTATCATCTCCCTCTCTCATCTATCTATCTATCTATCTATCTATCTATCTATCTATCTATCTATC